TGATCTCCTTGCTATGAGGGGAGGGATGCAGATGGTGATTGATGCAGGCTTTCATTACACGGTGCTAGAAACGGATGCTAAGTCCCTAAAGGCAACAATTGAGGATGTAGGAAAACATGGGACTCATGAACTTGCTGTTAACCTTAATGATATGCAAGAGCTGCTCAATAAAGGTTGTGATTTTCAGTTCAGCTATGTAAAGAGAGATGCTAATGAGGTGGCTCATTACTTGGCAAGGATGGCTATGGAGATGGATGATCTTATGATTATTCATGGTGATCCTCCCCACTGTGCAAAGGAGGTTTATGAGATTGATCTTCAAAATGATGCGGCATAAGTTATTGTTAGGATGGTATGCTCAGCTGGATTTATATTTTGGTACTTCTGTGTTGGCAGAAGGTGTTTTGCCTTTTCTATGTAGTATTACTTGTTTTGCTTGTACCCTTCTTTTGCACTTTCAGGGCAAGCTTTATTGGTCTCTCCTGGCTGTTGCTAGATGTTTTTGCATGGAACAATTTGTAGCTTGGTTACCTAATTAATTATAGTTTCGTTTTCCCCCCTAAAAAACATCTAGACTTATGTCTCTTGGATTTTGTAATTTTTTTTATTTTTTTTAAATGACTTGCTTTTTGTGTTTCAATTTATTAATATTAACATTGGAACAAGAAAAACAAAACCTTAATCTGAACCAAAACTTAAAAACTACTCCCTCAGTCCATTTATTTTTGCCCCATTGCTATTTTTGGAGTCAAATTTGAAAACTTTGACCAATAAATTACCATTAATCTATAAAAGAAAATATAGTCATGCGTAGTCTTATTAGATTCGTCTCATTGTAAATTTTATTAATATCATATCTTTATAATTTTTACGTATATGAAAATAAAGATATAGACATTTTAATATGCATGTTGGAGACTGTGCTCAATCAAATGGGGCAAAAAAATAGGACTAGAGAGAGTACAAAATACTTGTATGAATTTAGTCAAGTACAAAATAATTGGTGAGTGATTAGTCGATTTCACCCATGCCAAGTCATTTTATATCAAACTGAGCCAAAGCTCAATACATTACACTGTAAGTTAAAAATATTGATTTTTTTCCTTTTCCATCATATACCACTGAGTTTTAACGTAATTCAGCATATTCCAAAAATAAATAAATAAATTCAAATTCACCATATAACATTCAATTTAACAATAATGTCACAACATGTCATTAATGACTAGTAGACGTTAAAACCGTTAGTCATTATTAAGGCTAATAAGGTCACGTGACAATATATAGTTTTTGGTTCCCTTTTAAATTATTTAATTTAATTATCAAAAATTATAAAAAAAAAAAAAAAAAACAGCCACTCACGACAACCCAACCAACCACCACCCTATCCTAACACAGCCCGCCGGCGCGAAATTCGATCCACCAGCCACCACCACTATCCCACCACATTAAAATCCTCTCGCTCCCTCCCTTGAAAAACCTCGCTCCTCAATCACCGACGCCCAAACCCATTCCCCGTGCCTGCAAACCTAAGTCACCCCTCCCTCTTCCAATTCGACCCCTTTCCCCCCTTCTGAACCAACACCCCAAAACCCTAAAACTCCAAAATCAAATCCTAAGGTTTCGATTTTGAGTTTTGGGTTGGTTGTTTGCAGCTAAATTGGGCGGCGACCAGTGAGGGAGGGGGATCTGGCCGTCGGCGTTGGGTTCGGCATGGTGGGTTTTGGCTTAGGTGGAAGGGCTGCAAGGGGGAGGCGTTTTTGGCTGGGAGGAGGGAGCATTTAGGTTGGGTATGGTGGTTCAAGGGAGGGATGCGGGCATCGATGCAAGGCTGGGTAAGGGCGGCGTCGGTGCGGTGGTGGTTCAAGACTAGGAGCGGGTGGCAAAGGGTTGGGCTGGGTGGCGGTTGTGGGGGCGCAGAGATGGCTGGTAGTTGGTGGTGGTTTTATTTATTTTTTTCCTTATTTTTGCAAAAGTTTTTTATTTAATTAATTAGTTTAAATAAGAGCCAATTAGAGGATACCACCTAACATATTTAGGGTTAGTTCTCATTGACTGAATTGAGCTGAATATTTTATAAGAGAAGGAAATTGAGAGCTGAACTAAACAGAACTGAATTTCAACGTATGAGAACAAAAACTCTTAATGACTAACGGAGTTAAGAAAAAGGACATGTTGGGGCATTTTTGTTAAATTGAATGGTATACGGAGAGTTACGTTAAAACTTAGTTGATATATGATAAAAAAATTAAAAATTGGTTTTGTTTGTTTATGTAACATATATATACGATGGAGATGAATAATATATCAAAATTATGTACTATTCCCTCGATTTATTTTCAAATGACATACTTAGGTCAAATTAAAGTGTGTAATGCAAAAAAGGGACAGAGTATGAAGTAGGATGAGTTTTAACTAAGAAAATTGATGAAGTGAAGGTGAAAGGTGAAACAAAGGATAATAAATTAATAATTTTTTGGAAGGGTCAAAAGATTAGGAAAGAGAATGTTCAAAAATAATATGAGGGCGGAGATTAAACGATGAAAAATTAGGGGAAGAAAAGAGACATGATAACTTTCTATTACGTAGTAAATATATTAAAATGCGTTTCAAATCAATAAGTTCATACATTATTTGACACTGTTCCGAAAAAAGTGATTTATATAAAAGTTAAAAATTTTAATCTCAAGTTAAAATATTATAAGCTTAACTGGAGCCAAGAAATGCCCGACTTAAAAACTAGTGATTACTTTAAAAAAAAAAAGAAATATAATTATACTAGACATATTGACACATGGCATATACAATCTATTATTATTCTATATATAATTAGTAATATTATTTTTGAAAAAAAAAACATGAATACAGAAAATTATTATTTAATTACTCGTTTTGCATTGCTGTGATTTCTGTTTTTAAGGGTTTTTTATTTTCAAAAATTACATGATATATGTCATATAATTAATAAAAAAATTAGTCAAATTTATTAAAATCATGATAATTTAAAAAATCGACAATAGAAAAGTGAAAATATTTTTTTTCTTGTTTTTTTTTTGAAATAAAATTGATTCATAAATAAGTCATACGACATCTACAAAGAGATTTAGATCTAACAAATACATAATAATTGAATCAAATAAAAACATTATGTAAGCATAGCTACGATCGTTGTTGTAAATCGTACATTCTTCATACCCTCTTTCATATCGCTGTGATTTACAGCCTTCTTCGGCGAGGGGGTATATCGATCTGTTGTAGCCGTGCAGAAAATTTTCGTCTGATTCGTTCGATTGTTGTCGAAATATTAATCTATTTTTCAATTCCGCACAAAATTTTACCCATGAAACAACTCTATAACAATCCATGAAATAAAAAAGCAAATCCTCCCTCAAAAGAGAGAAGAAAAACCCGGTCTTTCGAAGGAGCCAAATCCTCCTAAAGAGGAAGAAAAACCCTGTCTTTCGAGGGAGAAATATTCCTCTTAAAAGAGGAAGAATTATTATAAACCTAAAGCAAGAGAAAAAGCACAAAAGAAACAACGATTGGGGCTTTCCACCGGTAAATCCGATGAAAGCCCCTTCAAAATTCAACAATGGAGGCTAGGGTTTTAGAGAGAGAACAGAGGAAAAAGAGGCTAGGGTTTTTTTTTCACTACGTTTTTTTTCTTGTTTCCCATGTTTGGTTTTTTGTTTTTTTTAAAAAAAAAAAAATACTAAAAACAAAAACGATACCATTGGCCCTATATTTTTCGTTTGGCTTTAATATTCTATATTCTTATTAAAAGAAAAATTAGGCCGAATGTTAAATTGTTTTTTATTTTATATTTTTTGACACAGATTATTAGTTTATTGCAATAGGTTAATTAATTGTCAACTATTATAAAATTAGCTTCTAATTATTGGTTTATAAAATATGCCATGGGCCCTCCCATGTTTGTATAAAATGCAAAGACGTATTGGACCATAATTAATTAGGATTAGGTTGAAATTGTCAGCACCAACTCATTCATGGCATATGATACTTTATACCAATATCTTTAAATTGCAAAATTGCCCAAATAGCCACACCACACATCTCATTTGACTAGTTCACATCATTACATCAACACAACACCACAAAATTAGTAAATTGATTCATAATTTAACACCAACTTTTTGTGTGTTTAGGTTGATGTTTTTAGGAAAATTTTATGAACATATTTAAGTGGTCCTTAAAGGTATGCCATTTAGAAACTCTATAAAGGAGAAAATTCAAGGAGTATAAGTAAATAACACTCTAACTTACTAATGTAATTACTTCCCACTTAAACAACATAACCAACAAGCTACAAGCTACAACTCAATCTTCTTCAAGTACCATGTTGTATGTGCGTGCTTCATTGCCTTCATATACAAGAGGCATTGGTTGTTCGAGTATGAAAATTTTAATTTGTTAGATGTATTCTAAATGGTGTCACTTATACAACAGATTTAGTCACCCTAAATTACATATAGACTATTTGTTAGATGTATTCTACATGGTGTTACTTATACAACAGACTTAGTCACCCTAAATCACATATACACTAAACGTCAAGTATTCATGAAATTTGGGTGACCAAGCAGCATATCACTTTGTATATGGCTATAGTCTATACACATAGTAAAGTACATACCTTTTGTACCAACCACCAAAAACGATGGCTGAACGGAGTTTCGAAATGAAATGCCAACAATCAATAAATAAATAAATAAATAAATAAATAACAGTGAATAACCATTAACCAACCATGAAACAAAATTGAAAGATGAGAACATAGAGGATTAAGCAACTAGTTCGTTAGAATGATAACTCGATGTATGATGGAATTGTGCATCAAAATACGTACCAAGCGCTAAAATATACATAAAGGATGAAATCGTTAGAATGACATTTATTATTATACCAAATGTTTTTTTTTTTTTTTTTTCAAATGGCTTATAATAAATACGGAGTAGTTTTTATTAATTAGTCCTACAAAATAAGAATATTATTGTTATTAATCCAATAAACAGGGATACAAAATGATTATCTACAAAACTAAGTTTATCTTCTGATCAGTGATCACCACCTCTCATCTGTAATCTGTTGAATTCACCATCCAACAAATCCAAGGAAACTGCAATATGTAAATAATGGAGTAAATAAATACATCAAACCCAATTATATTATATGATGAATTTATTTTAAGGAAAAAAAAAAGGGAAGAAGAAAAAACCTGAGAGAACGAAGAGCAACATGAGAAGAGAGGACATGGAAGAGAACATGAGCACCATGAAAGAACATGACCATACCAGTGCATCCTAACACAAACAATTCTACCACCATTTTCAATTTTTAATTTTACTGAATTTTCTTCTTCGATTCCTCACTATTTTATAGATAGAGAAAGGTTAATGGAGAAGTAGTGAGACAGTAGATGAGTTTGCCAGTTTGGCGATGACAGATGCTTGACTTATTTTTAATACTTCTGCTTTTTATGTAATCGTTTAGGGGACCCTTGGGGCATCGGCTATTAACTTTTGAGATCTACTCAGCTTAATTTCAATTCAATTTAGTTTAATTCAATTTAGCTCCAATTATTTTAATTCAGTTCAATTTAGTTTAGCTTCAATCGGAGCAGGCCCTAGTGGCCTAAATTGCCTTATTCAAACCATTACTTAGTAAAACAATATTATTCTCTCTGTTTATAAATAAGTTGAGTCAAATTTGCACATTTGTCGAAACAACTTTGACCATCAATATTTTTAATGAGAGATCAGTAAAAAAATTTACTCGTGAAAATTTTTATTTAGGGTATATTCACATTTACTAAACTGAGTTGAACTAAACTAAACTGAATAAAGCTGAAATGAATATTTTATGAGAGAAAGAAATTAGGAGCTGAACTAGAGTCGTCAAAAGTTGACACGACAATGCAACCTGACACGAAATAAATGGGTTTGGGTCAAGAATTCTCGATTTGTTTAACTAATTAGGCCGACACTAACGCGGCACAAAATTAAACGAGTTAGGTTAGGGTCAAAATTTTTAACCCAAAACTAACACGCCCAACCCTATTATATAAATGGGTTGAACGACAATCTGTTAACTCAAACTCAACACGCTTAACTAGTTTATTATGCATGTAGTACAAGAAATTATTTTTTTTTTTCTCTAAACTTTTAGTTTTGTGAAAAACATTGGTGTTGTTCATAAATATTTAACGGAGGTTTGGATCCTCTAGAGTTAAACTCTATAGAGTTCAATAAATCTAGACCCTCCACAAAAGATCAATGGCTAATATTCATCTTGCATGCATTTCAAAATAAAAAATAAAAGTTCAATAAAAAATAATTTAAAACTCTCACTCTCACAACTCTACAACTCTATAATTTTCAAACTCTAGAGGATCTCAACTCATTTAACGGTTTCCTTAAGCTATGCCCCCCAAGTTCTGCGGTTTCTAAGCTATACCCATGCATTTTCAAAGTTATAAAATGTGCCCTCCATCTCACGATATTCTATCAACAATACCCTTTGACAGCCATATTCGTTCACGAAAGTTAAGTTATTTTATCAATAATATGGTGTCGTGGCGTTATTAATTTGGCACGTGTCCCATTCTAATTGGTTTAACACTTCAAAAAAAAAATTTAAAAAAAAATATAATAATAAAAAAAGAATTTGTTAATGTCAAAGGTTATTGTTAATAAAAATTAGTGAGGTTGAGGGCACAGATTAAACGTTTAAAAAGGCATGATTACAGCTTAGAAACCCAAAAAGTTTGGGGCATAACTTTAGAAAAATTCCATATTTAAATTTTTGGCAGTGAAATTTGGCGAAAAAATGAAAAAATTTAACTAGTAGTGGAAGTGGAGCAACAAGCACACGTTAACCAACTCAACCATAGATGTAATTTAGTTTCATGGATAGGAAATTAATTAATAATCCATGCTTTACAGTAGTTAACAGTTTGTGATGTTGAAGGTTGGGACAATTCTTATGTATGTTTTTGTTGTTATAACCACTAGTTATAAACTTTTGTAATTGCTAAAACTAAGGGTCTGTTAACATTTACTGAACCAAGCTGAGCTGAGCTGAACTAAATAGAGCTGAAATGAATATTTTATGAAAGAAGCAAATTAGGAGCTGAACTGAACTGAATTGAACTGAAATTAAACTGAAATGAACTGAAATTAAACTGAAATGAACAGGCCCTAACTTTAAACTCGTGTCGTTAATGGTGTATTTCTTTTTAATTATTAGTTGAATATTAATTAGTTTATCATATAGTCTTATGTGGGTAAAGGGTTACCTGGGTAACCCGTTAAATAAACGGATTAGGTTTGGGTCAAGGATTTTAAGCCGTTTAATAAACGGGTTAAGTTTGGGTCAAGGGATTTTCAACCCATTTAACATTGACACGAACATGAATCCGACACGACACGACCTGTTTGACAACCTTAAGCTGAACTGGACTGAATTGAACTGATTGGAGCTGAACTGAACTTAACTTAACTGAAATTAAGCTAAGTGAACAAGGCCTTATAAAAGTAGACATTATGACAAATAATCCAACAACATATTATATGATCATATTTATATATAGGAAAATGCTATATACATAGCGCTTAGGGCTACATATAAACATTAAATTTACACTTGAAAATAGTTGAAAGTTCAAAAATCATAAAGATATAAACACTAATTACACTGATTTATGCGTATTTTTGTCATGAATTCCTAATTTTATACAATTTTCAAGAGTGTTTTTAATGTTTAAATATAGCCCTTAGGAATACAAATAGCATTACCCTTATATATAATATATCGGTAAAAAAATTAAGTCAATGATGACATATGAATAGTGAAAAATCTCAACTCTACCTTATAAAAATGGAGGGAGCAATACGTATTTGGTAATGTAGTGGCTGGAGTAGCTTTTTAAATAAGTTAATATCATTAGCTTTTGTGATAAAAACTAGGTAACTATTGGAATTTTTCTTTTATTCTGTATATTTTTAGAATTTCACGACTAATAGCTACTAAACACACTATCCAACAAATCCAAAGAAACTGCAATGTGTAAATAATGGAATTAATAAATAATAGTACCTCGATCTCATCTGTTGTATTACTTTCTCCATTTTTTTATTAGATGCATCACTTTAGTAATTGCAGAATCTTAGATAATTTTTGGAATATATAAAGAGAAATAGAAAGAAAAATAAAGAGGACTCATGTGATAGGAGAGAGATAAAGAGAATTTATTAACTACTTGTAAAAAGGAAAGTAATATATCTAAATTGAAAATTCCATTTAGAAAAAGTGATGCATCTAATAAAAAACGGAGGAAGTGTAATTTTACTAGAAAATTTGAAAATAATCATCTTTAAAAAATCACTAAATAATCACCTCTACATAACGATTTTTGTTTTATAGCATGCAAAAGGAGGCATTTTTATTACTTTTTTTTTTGTTTTTTTTGGAAAAATTGCTGGGAATAATCCCACCTTTGGGGCATCCGCGAAAAATAATCCAACCTTTGGGGTATATTTAAATAATCCTACCTTTATATTACATCCGCTAAAAATGGTCTCAAATGACTTGTAATCGGTTAAATAGGTAATTTTTTTATTTAATTAAGCCTAATCTACACATGTCACAACATTATTGGTCAAAAAAAAAATTTACTTTTATTTTTTAAAAAGAAATAATTATTACTAATTAATCTTAATTAACTTATTTAAAACTAGCCCTCAAAAAAAAAAAAAAAAACACACTTATTTAAAACTAACTTTTTAAAAACTAATTAAAAATTTAAAACAACCACCACCACCTGCCCCAACCCCAGCCACCTCTGCGCCCCACCACTAACCCAGATCGGGCCTCCGTCGTTGACCCGCAGCTCCTCACGCCTATCGCCGCCCCCCTACCCTATTCCGTCACCTCATCTTACAGAAATCAAGGCTGGAAAAAGAGGGGGGTCAAAATCGAGGCATGGGAAGGGTGGTGAAGGCCGAAATCCGGTCGAGGAGAAGGGGAAAAGGTTAAAAAAAAGGGCAAAGGAGGGGGAGAAAACTAAAGGGGAAGTGGGAGGTCGGAATTGGGACGGGGAAGGGTTTCAAATTGAAGGTGTTTGGTGGTTCAAGGGGACGGGGAGGGGTTGGGGTCTTGACGGGAAAGGGGTTTTCAGGGGAGGGGGTCAGTGGTGACGTCGGCACCGGCGCTGGTTGGGGCCTAGGTGGCCGAAACCGTCGGGTAGGGTTTTAGGCTCAGACGCAGCGACAGTGGCTTAGGCAGGTGGCCTGGTGGGTGGTGGGTGATTTTTTTTTTTTTTTCTTTTAAAAAATCTATTTTTAAAAAAATTTATTTTATTTTAATTTATTTTATTTGACCAATCACAAGTTGTCACGTGTCATGTATCTTGTAATAACAGGTTACATGACCGGTTGGGACCGTTTTGAACGGATTGAGTATAAAGGTCGGATTATTTAAAAATATCCTAAAGATGGGATTATTTTTTGCGGATGCTCCAAAGGTGAGATTATTGCCAACAATTTTTCCATTTTCTTAATACAATTCCAAATTTGATTTAGACCCTTAAGTTCCAAAATACCCTTAAAACTTTAATCAAATTTCTCGACTAAAAAAATTTAAAGAGACAAATCAAGACATTTGATTTCTTACTTAGCAAGCAAAACGGGGGATTTCGTTGCAATAATTTACAAGGATGAAAAACGATTTGGGACGAGTGCGAATACCCTTCCCTATAGCCTAGGTACCCACACCCACCATTCACGACAGGTACAAACCTAAAATCCAGGCCATATCCTTTTGAAATTTGTATCGCTTTTACATGAATATCATGACTATGATATTATCTTAAATATTAAACACCAAAGATAGCCCAAGTAAAATATGTTAATAGCAATGTTGCACCTATTTCTAGATGCACTACGTCTATACTTTTGAACATTTAGTAAAAAAAATAAACATTTTATAAAAAAAATAATATAAACACGTCACAAAAACTGAATATAAACATGCAATTTTTATGTTCATATTTTATAAAGAAATATTCATTTTGTATACAATAAATGTTCAGTTTATATTATAAAACTATTGAATTAGTACGAGTCAGACAAACTTTTTTTGAAATTTGTCTGACTCGTAATAATTCAAAATTTGCGATTGTTCGGATTTTTTATTAAATGTTCAAAATTTGTTATTGTTCATAATTTTTTTATTACATATTCAAAAGTATTTGTGTGGTGCATTGCAATTGTTCAGATTTTTTTTATTAAATGTTCAAAATTTGCAATGTTCAGATTTTTAACTAAATGTTCAAAATTCACGATTGTTTAGATTTTTTTACTAAATGTTCAAAAGTATAGGCATGATGCATTGCGATTGTTCAAAATTTTTGACTACATGTTCAAAATTTGCGATGTTAAGATGTTTTTACTACATGTTCAAAA